CATGTACCTTGGTTTTGGCACATCCCCAGTTAGGGGGTGTGCAGAAGGCAGCTGATCAATGCCCCTTCCTCTCTATAAAAAAATCAATAAAATAGACTATTATTTTCTAAAAAAGGAAAAGAAATGCTAAATGAACTGCTGTAATGAGGACAGAGAGAAATCTAGGCATACAGAATTAAACTGTCAATAAATAAGTACCCATTAATAATAACCTTAAATATAAATGGATTAAGTGCTTCAATCAAAAGTCATAGGATAGCTGAATAGATACAAAACATGACCCAATTATATGCTATATCTAACTCAGAACCAAAGACTCACACAGGATGAGAGGGAAGGGATGGGGGAAAAATTTCCATGCCAATGGAAGGAACAAAAAAGCTGGAGTAACAGTACTCATATCTGATAAAATAGACTTCAGAATGAAGGCCATCACAAGAGACAACAAAGGTAAACTACCTAATACTAAAGAGATTGACTGAATCCAGTTTGGCTCAGTGTATAGAGCGTCGGCCTGTGGACTGAAAGGTCCTGGGTTCGATTCCGGTCAAGGGCATGTACCTTGGTTGCGGGCACATCCCCAATAGGGGGTGTGAAAGAGGCAGCTGATCGATGTCTCTCTCTCATTGATGTTTCTAACTCTCTATCCCTCTCTCTTCCTCTCTGTAAAAAAAAGTCAATAAAATATATTTTTTTTAAAATAGAGATCGATCCAACAAAAGGATATAACCCTAGTCAACATATATTCACCCAATATAGGAGCACCTAAATATATATTTTTAAATACCTTTTGGAGCCGAGACCGGTTTGGCTCAGTAGATAAGGCGTCAGACTGTGGACTGAAGGGTCCCAGGTTCGATTCCAGTCAAGGGCATGTACCTTGGTTGCAGGCACATCCCCAGTAGGGGGTGTGCAGGAGGCAGCATGTCGATGTTTCTCTCTCATCGATGTTTCTAACTCTCTGTCCCACTCCTTTCCTCTCTGTTAAAAATCAATAAAATATATATATTTTTAAAAATGTAACCTTAAAAAAAATGAAAAGAAATAAAAGAAATGTTGAGAGAAACCAAGATGGCGGCAGGGCTAAACACCTAACTGCAGCCTCACACAACAATTTCAATAAAATACAACTAAAATACAAAATGGACATTACCCAGAACTATAGGAAAGTCGAATGACTGGGAATTCTACAACGAGAAGGAAAGAGAAAACCAGAAGGAAAATCAGAGGAGCTGTAAAAGCCTAAGGTACAGAGACATGTTGCATGTGCAGAAAGGACGAAGCCGGAGGGGAGGGGCGGCTGAGTGCCTGGCTGGCGTTCCCTAGCGGGAAGGAGATAAAAGCTCTGGACTGTGCTGAACCCCAGTTCTGACTGCACTGAACCACAGTTCTGGGCAAGACCCTGGGGACCCAGACACATAAGGAGGGAGTCTGGGCTGTACGGCGAAACCTCAGGGGAGCAGGGAAAGGCAGTCCCAGAGGCGCGCATATTACACGCAGAGGAGGGACTGTTGACTCTGCTGCTAGACTGCCCTAGTGGGAAGGAGACAAAAGCTCCGGACTGTGCTGAGCCCCAGTTCTGACTTCCCTGAACCCGTTTTAGGCCAGACCCTGGGGACCCAGGCTCATACAGAGGGAGCCTGGGCTGTGAGGCGGAAACTCAGGGGAGCGGCGAAAGGAAGTCCCGGGGGCGCGTACATTGCGCGCAGAGAACAGACTGTTGACTGTGCCGCTGGATTGCCCTAGCGGGAAGGAGACAAAAGCTCCAGACTGCTCTGAAACCTACTTCCAACTGCACTGAACCCCAGTTCCGGGCTCATTGGGGGAGAGCCTAGACTGTTTGGTAATAGGCGAAACTCAAGGGCACCTTTCTCTCAGAGGTGCTTGCAGCGACTACTGAAGGACACTGAGGAACCCTGAGACTCAGTAGCCTCATAGGGCGTGGCTGACAGAAGCCAAGGCTGTAGGCTCCACCCTGAAACTCCGCCCCAGCCAAGCTGAGCACAGAGGCTTTTAAAGCTACCAACTCAGGGAAGCTGTGAAAATGCCAAGACAAGGAAATAGAGCACAAACAAAAGAAATGGAGGACAAAAAGCGACTGGATATAGAATTCAAAACCATAGTTATAACATTTTTCAAGAATTTCCTAGAAAAGACCGATAAAATAAATGAGATCTATGAGGATATGAAAAAGGATCAACTAGAAATAATAAGGGATCAACAAGAAATAATAAGGGATCAATAAGAAATAAAGAATACATTGTCTGAAATTAAAAATTTATACAGAGTCCTAAAAACAGAATGGAAGATCGCAAGAATCAAGTCAAAGATTTGGAACATAAAGAGCCAGAAGACACTCCTCCGCAGTAGCAAGAAGAGAAGAGAATCCAGAAAGTTGAAGATAATGTAAGAAACCTCTGGGACAACTTCAAGCGAACCAATATCAGAATTATGGGCATCCCAGAAGAAGAAAGAGAGCAAGATACTGAAAACATACTGAAAGAAATAGTGACAGAAAACTTCCCCCACCTGGTGAAAGAATTAGACTTACAAGTCCAGGAAGTGCACAGAACCCCAAACAAAAGGAATCCAAAGAGGACCACACCAAGTCACATCATAATTAAAATTCCAAGAGCAAAAGACAAAGAGAAAATATTAAAAGCAGCAAGAGCAAAGCAGGTAGTTACCTATAAAGGAGCACCCATAGAATTGTCAGCTGATTTCTCAACAGAAACCATGCAGGCCAGAAGGGAATGGCAAGAAATATTCAAGGTAATGAATAGCAAGAACCTACAGCCAAAGATAATCTATCCAGCAAAGCTATCACTCAGAATCGAAGGCCAGATAAAGAGCTTCACTAAAAAAAAAAAAAAAAAAAAAAGAAAAGCTAAAGGAGTTCACCACCACCAAACCAGAATTATATGAATTCCTGAAGGGGGTTCTTTAGGAAGAGAAAGAAAATAAAGATAAAAATTATGAACAACAAATATATAACTATCAACAACTGAATCTAAAAACCAAGAGAATTAAAAAACTCTGATGAACAATATTAACTGGTGAATTTAATAGAATCAGAGGTATGGAAGGGGAGTGGACTGACGATTCTCGGGGAAAAGAGGAGTGGGGGTGTGGAAAGAGACTGAACATAAACTGTGCACCTATGGATGAGGACAATGGGGGGTGGGAAAAGGGCAGAGGGTGGGGTGGGAACCTGGTGGAGGGGAGCAATGGAGGGGGAAAAAATGAGGAACATTTGTAATACCCTGTTTCCCCGAAAATAAGACAGTGTCTTATATTAATTTTTGCTCCCAAAGATGCGCTAGGTTTTATGTTTGGGGTTGTCTTATTTTTCCATGAAGAAGAATACGGTACACATTTATTGTTAAATGAAAATAAAGGAAATGTATTACCTGTATATGGTACGGTAGTATGGTAGTTGTCAACACAAACCAGACAAACTGTGAATCCTACAGTATCAAGAATTTACTCATTTATTCAACGACAATCATGTCATCATCTTCTGGAACATCATCATAACAATCCAATTCCTGAATTTCCTGGTGATCTTCTTGTGACTCTATTTCTTTCACAATCAGTGGACCAAATCTCTCATGTTTAGCCTAGGGGTGGGGAGGCCTTATTTTCAGGGGATGCCTTATATTTCACTCAGAAGGAAACCTGTAAGTAGGTCTTATTTTCGGAGGATGACTTATTTTCGGGGAAACATGGTAATATGAACAATAAAAATTTATTAAAAATAAATAAATAAATAAATAAATAAATAAATAAATAAATAAATAAATAAATAAATACCTTTTAGAGGAATTTAAGGAAGAGATCAGCAGCAATTCAGTCATAGTAGGGACTTTAATACCTTGCTGACTTCACTGGATAGATCTTCCAGACAAAAAAATTAACGATGAAACAGTGACTCCAAATGACACACTGGACCAGATGGAATGAATTTTTTTTTATTTGTGACATTAAAAGTTGACATTTATAGAACATTGCACCCCAAAGATGCAGAATATACATTCTTCTCAAGGGCACATGGAACATTCTCAAAGATAGGCCACATGTTAGGACACAAAACAAGTCTCCACAAGTTCAAGAAGGTTGAAATAAAATGACAATGGAATGAAATTAGAAATAAACTTCGGTAAATACACTCCAAGACATTCAAACACACGGAGGCTAAAAAGCATTAACAATGCTTTAAACAATGAATGTGTTACCAATGACATCCAGAAAGAAATAAAAAAAAAAACTTCCTGGAAACAAATGAAAATGAATACTCAACAACCCCAAGTCTCTGGGACACAGCAAAAGCAGTCCTGAGAGAGGAATTCATCAAAAAACAAAACAAAAAAAATTATTAATACACTATCTCAACCTACAATTTAAAGAATTGGAAAGAAAACAAGAAAAACCCAGAGTAAGTAAGAAGGAAAGAAATAATAGATTAGCGGTCAACGGCAGCGGGAAGGGTAGGGGGTCCTAGGGACAGATGTAACTCTTTCCACAATAAAGATTTTTTTTATCTCAAAAAATAGAGAAGGGGCATCTATAATATTTTGACCAATAAAGATACATTTAAACTAATAATAATAAATGTTAATAATGATCAACACTGCCTACCAAGGAAGCGATCTTTCCCCTCAGAGACCCATGGGCCCTGCAGAGACACTGTGCCTGTGCGTGTTACACTTGCCAGATGGGGGTGAAACTGGACCAGGGACTCACTGAGCCTCAGTGTCCTCACCTATCGAAGGGGGATGGTAATAGTTTCTACCTAGAGGGTTATTGTAGAATCTGAAGACTAAATAGTGCACAATGTGGAGGATTATATAAGTGATAGCAACTGGCTGGCCCATAGGAAGCTCTCAATGTCGTCATCATCATAACATTTACGCTGAAACCTAACAACCTGAGCCTCCATGAAGGCAGGTGGGAGAGAGGCAGTGGTGCGTGGGCCTGGAGACACGGGGACCCACAGTCACCTGGCTGAAGCGTTCCATCGCTGGCGGCAGCCCCCTTCTTGAGGAGATGGGTGATCTGGAGGTAGGGCCCATGCTGGATGACGATCAGGCCTAGCCCCAGGCTGCCCACGGGGAGTTCGGTCCTCTGAGTTATGCTCAAGTTGTGCACCTTGGGGCTGACTTGTTTTTCTGACAAAGAGAGGGAGATGTGCTTTAGACCTTCGTCCGACAACAGCATGGCTGGCGTCGCTGGCGCTCTAAGTGGACTGTCCTCAGTCTCCTGATCAGCAAAGTGAGGACAGTGAGTGTCCGCCTCAGAGGCTGTGATGACAATTAAATTGGGCAATGAAAGGCTTTTGCACAGAAACCAGCACACTGTGAATGTTTAGTTAACTTTAGCTATCATTATCCATTCACTTAACAAGCACTTACTGAATCAGAAGTGTCTGCCCTCACAGATCTTCCCACCTATGGAGGAGACAGATACCCAGTAGTCAGGGAAACAGGTGGTAACAGCGGTGACACAGGCCATGCAGGAAGGTGCAGGAAGGCACAGGAAGCTCAGGGGGACCATAGGAGGCCAAGGTCTCCTGTGGGGAAGGCTGGTCAGGCTTCACAGAGGAGGCAACATTTGAATTGAGGTCAAAAGGACTAATCAGAAATATTTATGCAAAGGAGGTGAAAGAGAGCAAATGAGACCAAGGCTGAGAGGCAGAGAAGGGCGGAGAGGAGGGCAGCAGGGGAAGCCAAGGCAGAGCAGACCTGCCTCCTCTCCCTGCCTGGCAAAGCTAGATGCTGTTTTCACAGGCACAATACCATTTGCATTTATTCTTTAAATATATATATATTGATCTTTTACAGAGAGGAAGAGAGAGGGATAGAGAGTTAGAAACATGGATGTGAGAGAAACATCGATTAGCTGCCTCTTACACACCCACTACTGGGGATGTGCCCACAACCAAGGTACATGCCCTCGACCGGAATCGAACTTGGGACCTTTCAGTCCCCAGGCCGAGGCTCTATCCACTGAGCCAAACCGGTTTCGGCTAATTTGCACTTTTTTTTATTTAAAGGAACCCTCCTGCTTCTGTGTGGAGCAGGAATAGGGGTCCAGAGTGGACTTGAGAAACGAAGGGTTACTGCAATCATCCAAGCAGTCATGACCATGCGTGGGAATGCACATCAGGATAACAGCATTTGGGAAGAAACTGGGTAGTGGGAGGGGTTGAAATAGGCTTTCTATAGAACTGAACCTCACAAGGAAGTTTCAAAGGCTGAGCAGTGATTTAAAACCAGAGGAAGCTTCCTTTTCACTATAGGAGCTTCTGGTGAAATGTGTTTTCTGCACACTTTTCCAGCATTTCACACACACACACTCACACATGCTCACACTCACACACACACACTCACACACACCGCTTTTCTCTAAGGATAAATGACAAACTGCTACTTGCCACGCCTTTACCAAGTCCGCGAGCCGTGTTTGGGGCCGGAGACCTCGCTCCTGAGGAAGGGCCTCCTCTTCTCCCCCCGTGTCCCCCCCACAGCTGCGGGGACTGGCAGGTTCAGGGCCCATCTCCAAGCTGTCTGCCAAACAAGGCAGCCTGGGGTTAGAGGGACCGGCTTCAGGGGCTCTGCAGGAGTGTAGGGGCAGTGCCAGGAGGAGGGCCTACTGGCCTTGGGTCCTGGCCCAGAGGGGCCTCTTCACAGGGCTCCCAACCACCCCAGCTTGTAAATGACCTGTCCTGGGGGTGTGGTCCTGGGGTGTGGGCCTGGGGGGTGGGCCTGGGGTGTGGGCCTGGGGGTGTGTGGTCCTGGGGGTGTGATCCTGCGGGGGTGTGATCATAGTGGTGTGGTCCTGGGATGTGGTCCTGGGGGTGTGTGGGCCTGGGGAGGGGGTGGGCCTGGGGGTATGGTCCTGGGGAGGGGGTGGTCCTGGGGCTGTGTGGGCCTGGGGGTGTGGGTCTGGGGGTGTGGGCCTGGGGGTGTGGGTCTGGGGGTGTGGGTCTGGGGTGTGGGCCTGGGGGTGTGGGTCTGGGGGTGTGGGTCTGGGGGTGTGGGTCTGGGGGTGTGGGTCTGGGGGTGTGGGTCTGGGGGTGTGGGTCTGGGGGTGTGGGCCTGGGGGTGTGGGCCTGGGGGTGTGGGCCTGGGGGTGTGGGTCTGGGGGTGTGGGTCTGGGGGTGTGGGTCTGGGGGTGTGGGTCTGGGGTGTGGGCCTGGGGGTGTGGGTCTGGGGGTGTGGGTCTGGGGGTGTGGGCCTGGGGGTGTGGGCCTGGGGGAGGGGGTCTGGGGTGTGGGCCTGGGGGTGTGGGTCTGGGGGTGTGGGTCTGGGGGTGTGGGCCTGGGGGGGTGGGTCTGGGGGTGTGGGTCTGGGGGGGTGGGTCTGGGGGTGTGGGTCTGGGGCTGTGGGCCTGGGGGTGTGGGCCTGGGGGTGTGCTCTGCAGCCAGAAGGACCGCAGAGAGAGGGAGAGAGGCCAGACTGGAAGACTCCACGCTGCAGGTGCCAGTGGAGAGGAGCTGGTGAGGGAGGGAAGGCCAAGGCGCAGCCTTGGACCGGGGTGTCCGCAGAGGTCCCCTGACACCACCCGTCCCCCTCCCCGGCTCACTGTGAGGCCAGAGGGGGCCCCACCTCACAGAGCGGCAGACGGGTGGAGGGGCAGGCCTCTCCCGCCGTCACCTTTTCTGTCTTTGGAGACGCCCTTCTTCATGGCCCGGGGGAGGCGGGAGGTGGGCTCCCAACGGCCAGGAACCTGGAGGCGCGAGGAGCCGAGTGCGCGGGGGTGGGGCGGAGGAGCCCGAGGGCCCCCGACCCTGCCCGCCGAGTGACAGCGGGTGGGCAGCGGTGCTCACCACAGGCTTCGGAGGGCCCCCCAAACCGGTGAGGTCCTGGCAAAACGGGGTGAGGGCCCGGAAAACGGGGTGAGCTCTGGCGGAGAAAACAGAGCTTGTGCAGGAACAGCAGGCGAGGCTCCTGTGGGTTCGCACCCATCCTCCCCCCATCCTCCCCCCATCCTCCCCCCATCCTCCCCCCATCCTCCCCCCCGCACCCATCCTCCACCCATCCTCCCCCCCGCACCCATCCTCCACCCATCCTCCCCCCCGCACCCATCCTCCACCCATCCTCCCCCCCGCACCCATCCTCCACCCATCCTCCCGCCCGCACCCATCCTCCACCCATCCTCCCTCCCCCGCACCCACCCTCCCCCCCCCGCACCCACCCTCCCCCCCCCATCCTCCCCCCCGCACCCATCCTCCCCCCCCGCACCCATCCTCCCCCCCCCCCCCCCGCACGCATCCTCCACCCAGCACCCCCTCCCATTCCGGAAGAGCCGCCGTGCGCTGCCCTCAGAGCAGAGGCATCTTATTTATCTTTAAATACATTTTATTGGTTTTTACAGAGGAAGGGAGCGGGGGAGAAGCATCAGAAGCATCAGCCCGTGGAGGCCTCTAACCCGCGGAGGAGGAGGCGGAGGAGGAGGGGTTATCCTCCCGCCGCCCGGAGGTCACAGACGGAAACAATCCTCACCCAGGCTCCGGGAGGGAGGGAGGGGGGGAGGGGGCAGGCGGCCCTCTGTCCCACCGGCCCTCGGCCTCTGCCATCAGCGTCCCGCCCTGCTCCCCGCTCTGGGCTCTCCGCGGCTCCTCCTCCAGGCCACCTGGGGAGCCTCCTCCAGGCCGCACTCCGCCGGAAAGCTCGCCTCCGCCGCTGTCCTGTGCCGGGAACGGGAGCCCCGGGGCAGGAGGCGTGAGCCCCGTTGCGGCAGAGGGCACCCTGGCGGGCTCCGCGCTGCCCCTCCACCGGGGAGGGCAGGGCCACCTGATGGCTGCAACTGCAGGGCAGACTGTCATGGGACTGGAGGATGCCCGCCCCCCCTCACCCCTGCTGCTAGCTGCCCCCTCACCCCTGCTGCTAGCTGCCCCCCTCACCCCTGCTGCTAGCTGCCCCCTCACCCCAGCTGCTAGCTGCCCCCTCACCCCAGCTGCTAGCTGCCCCCCTCACCCCTGCTGCTAGCTGTCCCCCCTCACCGCTGCAGCTAGCTGCCCCCTCACCCCAGCTGCTAGCTGCCCCCACCTCACCCCTGCTGCTAGCTGACCCCCTCACCCCTGCTGCTAGCTGTCCCCTCTCACCCCTGCTGCTAGCTGCCCCCTCACCCCTGCTGCTAGCTGTCCCCCCATCACCACTGCTGCTAGCTGCCCCCCCTCACCCCTGCTGCTAGCTGACCCCCTCACCCCTGCTGCTAGCTGCCCCCACCTCACCCCTGCTGCTAGCTGAGGAGAGCTTTTTGCCCAAGTTCACACCTTCAAGGTCAGCCAGCAACCAGCCACTGGCCAATGCAGGGTAAAAACTTGCTCCCTCAGCCGAACTCAAACAACTCTGGAGGGGCACTCCGGCTCCAGAGCTCCTTGGAGGCTGTCGGAGCCCAGACTGCACTCCTGCATCTGCTTCCTCTGCTCAGCCCTGCTTGCTCTCTTCCCCCGCTGGTCCTGACAGCACTCCCTACGTCCCTGCACACTGATGGACACATCCTGCTTCCAACTCAGCTCTGCCATCCGTGCGACTAACAGAGGCTTGAACCCTAGGACAAGCTGCTAACTCCTGGACGTGGCTTCTTTGTTGTGTGACTCCCAGAACCCTGGCTGAGGGGCACATCAGCTTGCTCTGGCCTACACGTTCAGCTTAAACGCAGGGAGCAGTGGGTTCCCTACCCTGTCAGGCCAGAGTCTCCTCAAAAAGCAACGTGATGGCACCACCAGAGTCCCATCTGGACCCAGCTTCTGCCCACCACCCATCACAGTGAGCATGGCTGTTTGTGGCTTCGGGCTGCCAGCAGAGCTCCCTCTGGGGCCTGCCATGTTCTTCTGAAGCTTTCTGTCTGTAAGGAGCCTCAGGGCTCCTCCTGTTGGAGAGGTGCCCGCTGCTTTGCTTAGAGGTTCTATCACTAACCAGAGGGCCTGACTCTTCTAGGTCAGATGGGGAAAGACCCAGAGGGGCAACATGACTTTCCCAAGTTCAAGTCAGCAGCAGGGCTGAGCCTAGAATATTGTTCTGGATTGTTTTCCTGTCATACCACCTCTCCCAAACCCCTAGGGTTTGCCTCAACTAAGATCTAGATTAAGACTAAGAGAAGGGGTCTCATCTATGGGACATGAGACCTGTCCCATAGATCTCAGACACGTGGGAGGCAAGAGATGTGGGGCTGAAAATAGGGTTAATGGGAAAACTAAACATAGTATTTGGTCCCTGTCCACCCCCTACTCCACTCATTGTCTGTAGGGATGCGCAGCCATTTATCTGGTAAAAAAAAATTTTAATTTTTGCTCAGCTGTCTCAGTGGTTAAGCATCAACCTATGACCCAGGAAGTTATGGTCCAATTCCCAATCAGGGCATGCACTCAGGTTGCAGGCTTGATGCCCAGTAGGGGTCATGTAGGAGCAGCTGATCAATGATTCTCTCTCATCGTTTCTCTTTCCCTCTCACTTCCTCTCTAAAATCAATAAAAATATGTTTAAAAATAAATTTAAGTGTCTAAAAATTTTAAACTCTGTACTGGTTGTTTTTTATGCTTTAATCTTAAATCCACAAACTTTTTTGGAGGAGCAGAGGCAGGTGGGCCTGGGAAATGTGGTTGGGTAGGAAGAATTTATACTTATATTTTATTTTCTTTACTTTTTTTTTTTTTTTAGCTCTTTTTTGTTTTTTATTTTTAATCTTTTTTTATTAAATTATTATCTGTGTACATATCTTACCATTGCCCCCCCCCCTCCTATGCATGCCTTCCCTCCCCAGAGTTTTGTGTTCATTGGTTGTACTTATATGCATGTATACAAGTCCTTCGGTTCATCTCTTATCTCCTTCAGATCTCCTTACCCTCCCCACTGTAATTTAACAGTCTGCTTGTTGCTTTACTATCTCTATATCTATCTTGGTTCATAAGTTTATGGTGTTCTTTATTATCCATAAATGAGTGAGGTCATGTGGTGTTTCTCTTTCATTGACTGGCTTATTTCACTCAGCATGATGTTCTCCATTTCCATCCAGGTTGCTTCAAATGATGAGAATTCCTTGTTTTTTATAGCAGCATAGTATTCCATTGTGTAGATGTACCATGGTTTTTTGATCCAATCATCTGCTGACGGGCACTTAGGCTGTTTCCAAATCCTAGATATTGTAAATTGTGCTGCTATGAACATAGGGGTGCATATATCCTTTCTGATTGGTGTTTCTAGCTTCTTGGGATATATCCCTAGAAGTGGGATTACTGGGTCAAATGGAAGTTCCATTTTCAGTTTTTTGAGGAAACTCCATACTATTCTCCACAGTGGTTGCACCAATCTGCATTCCCACCAGCAGTGCACGAGGGTTCCTTTTTCTCTGCAACCTCGCCAACACTTGTCCTTTGTTGATTTGTTGATGTTGGCCATTCTGACAGGTGTGAGATGGTACCGCATTGTTGTTTTGATTTGCATCTCTCGGATAATTAGTGACCTTAAGCATGTTTTCATGTGCCTTTTGGCCTTCCTTCTGTCTTCTTTTGAGAAGATTCTTTTTAGGTCCATTGCCCATTTTTTAATTGGCTCATTTATCTTCCTTTTATTAAGTTGTATAAGCTGTCTGTAGATGTTGGAGATTAAACCTTTATCAGTGATAACATTTGCACACAGTGGGGTTTCTTGTTGTTTTGTTAATGGTTTCTTTTGCTGAAAAAAAAAAAAAGCTTTTTATTTTGATGTAGTCCCATTTGTTTATTTTCTCTTTAGCTTCCATTGCCCTAGGGGCAGTATCAGTGAAGAAGTTCTTTTGGCATATGTCTGAGATTTTGCTACCTGTGGATGCCTCTAGTATTTTTATGGTTTCCCATCTTATGTTTAAGTCTTGTATCCATTTTGAGTTTATTTTTGTGTATGGTGTAAGTTGGTGATCTAGTTTCATTCTTTTGCATGTATCTGTCCAATTTTCCCAACACCATTTATTGAAGAGACTGTCTTGACTCCATTGTATATTCGTGCCTCCTTTGTTAAATATAGAGCGTAGTGATTTGGGTTGATATCTGGATTCTCTATTCTATTCCATTGATCTATATGTCTGTTCTTGTGCCAATACCAGTCTGTTTTGAGAACAGTGGCTTTGTAATACAGCTTGAAGTCCGGTATTGAGATCCTTCCTACTTTACTCTTCTTTCTCAGGATTGCTGTGGCTATTCGGGTCTTTTATTGTTCCAAATGAATTTTTGGAGTGTTCATTCTAGGTCTGTGAAGTATGTTGTTGGTATTTTAATGGGGAGTGCATTGAACCTATAGATTGCTTTGGGAAATATGGACATTTTGATGATGTTGATACTACCAATCCATGAACATGGTATGTTCTTCCATCTGTTTACATCTTCCTCTATCTCTTTTTTCAGTGTCGTGTAGCATTCTGCATATAGGTCTTTTACCTCCTTAGTTAAATTTATTCCTAGATATCTTAATTTTTTTGGTGCGATGGTAAATGGGATTGCTTTTTTAGTCTCTGTTTCTGTTGGTTCACTGTTGGGTGTATAGAAATGCCATAGATTTCTTGGCATTAATTTTGTATCCTGCTACATTGCCAAATTCATTTATTAAGTCTATTAGTTTTTTTTTGTGTGTGTTTTTCTAAAGAAGAATTTTTTAAAAATATATTTTATTGATTTTACACAGAGAGGAATTGAGAGGGACAGAGAGTTA